GGCACTTTACTTTGGTTGGCTTTTGCAACACTGTTACCATTACACGGTAATGTAGACACACAAGATGATCACAGTAGTTTTCAAATGAAATTTTGTTGATTTTTTGTGGCTTAATTTGTCGACAGGTGAGAAATTACATAGCAATTTGTCACGTGTGGCGACAGTAGTATGGCTTTTTGTGGCTCTGATCATCACACAAAGTTATACAGCCAGCCTTTCGAGCATGCTCACAGTGCAAAATCTTAAACCAAAAATAGCAAATATTGAGACACTAAAGAGCAATAACGCGTTGATTGGCTACTCGCAGATGTCTTTCGTTAGGGGATATTTGGAGGGTCCTTTAGGCTTTAAATCAAACAACATCAGGAATTTCACGTCAACAGATGAGTATGCACATGCTCTTAGAAATGGTACTATTGCAGCAGCCTTTCTTGAAGCTCCTGTGGCTAAACTTTTTGTCGCCAAATATTGCAAGAGCTTCGTCATTGCTGGTCCTACATACCAAGTTGGAGGATATGGATTTGTAATTTCTCTTTCCCTTATGAACCCCTTGTCTAAAACTTTAAGCCACTGAAAAGGGTACACAAACTTTCACGTGTATGCCAATTTTATTTTTTATCGATAATCTGACACGTGCTCAATTTTGGGTAACGACCATCTTAAACGGATAGAGTGGGGTCAGTGCTTTTACTAGATGAAACTGTTGACATTAGTTTCTATTAATTTCATCTTCTCAGGCATTTCCAAAGGGATCCCTTATACTTCCGGACATAGATGAAGCATTACTGAATGTTAGAGAAAATGGGGTGCTGAAAGATTTGGAGCAGAGATTAATAGCTTCTGAGCAATGTGAAGATATTCCATCAGACAATGAAACTGCAAGTCTTAGCCCTCAGAGCTTTTTTGTGCTGTTTATAATTACAGGAGTCACATCATCAACATCACTTTTAATCTACTATTTTCGGGCGAAAGACAGATATGAGAATTCCATGGCTCAATATAAAGGGATTTGGATTGCGATAATGATGGTTTTGAACAAGTTAGGACATCACAAAAATAGACTTTCAAGAAAAGTAAGTGATGTTGCTGATGAAAATCCCGAAAATTCACCAAATAATTTGCATTCTCGGCTGCAAGCCTAGATTAATTCATATTTTAGATATATCAAGATTAACATGCATGCGAAGATTGACTCTCGTTTTCAAGAGGCTTTTTGGCTTGACTTGTACTAACAAAAGCAAATTATTCCAATAGTCGATGGCTGTGCAACTTTTTGTCCCCGTTTGACAAATTCGTTTTCAACCACAATAGCACGACCCTCCCCATCTCTAGTCACGATAATTGAAATTTACAACGAGTTTAAATTAAATTTACATGTTGGTGGACTAGTGTGGACCAACTCACTCATGTTGACATCCCTACAAATGTAAGACTTGTAAAAATAAAATGAGTGTTTATTATTGCTAAAAAGATGTTGAACACGGGGGTGAGTATTTCATTTATCAAAAATAATCGTTAAAGGGAAAAATAGAAATAAATAAATATATCTTCTAGTCTTTTAACGATTTAAGTGTGTTATGTAGGAGCTTTAACATTGGAAAAGTTTTTTGTGTTACACATTCGATTTTGCGTTTGATTACGAAAATGAAATTTACATAAAAAGAAGATAAATTCTAAACAATTCAATGACCTAAAACTTATTTACATGGAAATTATTAATTCAATGTGTTTGATTGATTTAGTTTTCAACTTAGAAAATATTATACTTGTCCATTTTTTATTGACGAGTACTTGCTACTGAATAAGATACTTTTATGTTCATTTGTTACTTATAACTATTTTTGTATGAAGTCTGCTAATTGTTACTTTTAGTATGTCATTTTGTCAGTTTTTAGAAGTTTGGTTGCTATGGGCTTTGACTTTTATATTTGTACAATAAAATTGATAGTGAAATTTGAGATGGTGCGGAGATCACGGGAAGGAAAAAGGGGAAAACTCTTTTATCCTACTAATCTTATGATTTAGGTTCTCGTGAATGAATCTTTGCTCTTGATAAATGAAAGTATGATGTGAAACTAAAGAGTTTCTCAGTTATGATGTAGCACTAGATGACACAAATAATTACTATCAAACAGAGTTTCTCAACACATTACTTCCAAGTGGAGTTCTACCTCATCGATTATTGTTGAAAATAAATTGTTCGATAATGCTCTTGAGGAAGATTAAATACATGCCAAATTTTATTTTTTATCAAAGTTAAAATCAACGTTTAATTTTAAAAACATAGTTAATGGACAACTTTTATCAAAATTTGTTAAAAATCTTATTTTAATCCCCACCAAATATGGACTTGTTTTTTTCTCCACAAGTCAACTCCAAATTAATTATTTCGTAATTATTCATTAACAAGACAAAA